CCCAAACTTGTGCTTTGTATTGGAAATATTAACACCAGTCTCTTCCTCTATTTCAGGTGTTTTTCATGCACTACTGCTTCCTGGCGTGTCTTATTGTAATTGTGGGTGCGACTATCAGTAGCTGGGCTGCGGTGTGGATTTTGGATGCCTCGGCCGAATGGAACTGGGCGACTCATATTTTGTACGCGAGTGCGTCAATGAACACTGCATGGCTATGTGTTGCTTCTAGTATACAGGTAAGACGTTTTAACACATGGATTTACGAATTTCTTCACTTTTAATGAGATACAGTGTGGCGTGTTCGTGTAAGTGTTTTTGTCTGTTTTCCATAAAAGGGTACGAGCCAGGATCCATTAATAGGCGCTATGCTGGTATATACAATCGGTGCTATAGGACTGTCATCATAAGTAGCCGATGTTTCAACCTGGCGTGCACAGCCTCGAAAGAAAATACTACTCTCAATCATTGACATGTTACCCGCTTATATGTTTCCGATTTCACAGGCGCTTGTTTACATCGGCAAAGATGTGCACCACTCAGACTTCTCTACGCTCTTCTCCAACGAAGTGTACCTAAGTATTCTCTTCACACTCATCGCTGTAGCCATAACTCTACAGCGAGTTGTGTCGACGGGCAATCCGTACTTCCCCGGTGTCTGTGTATGGGCGCTGACGGCCATACAAAGCAAGAACAAGGACAACCAATCGTATGAGCTTAGGGATTACGTTGATGCTTTACACGTTCTTGCGATATTCGTGCTGGTGTATGCTATACTCGAGTGCTTTTTAAAGCGCTTTGTACCGGGTGTCCGAGATACAGTGCGTGAGGCTCTAGGGGTGGAAAGGCAATCCACCACACTTGCGGATGTGTACGATACTTTACACGAGCAGTCGACGGACCTCAATGAGTAAGAGATTTAGAACGTACCAGTTGTACCTCCCTATCTACGTTGAATGTATGAACTTAATCTACGTTGAATGTATGAACTTGATATATAAATAGCTGATATAATAAAGAGATTTAGAAATAACCTACACTCACGCTCAAATAATTGTGAGCTGCCGCACTTGTAGGTATTTTGAAATCAAATCATGTTATATCAAGTTTTCTCAAGGACTTCATAGACCACCAGGACTTCATGAAACTTCGATGGCGAATCTATCCGTTTAGTAAACTGCTTATTTATGGCCTATAGAAGGGATATATACCGTACGGTACACAGTTAGCCTGTCTAGATATAAATATTGCCTGCTAAGAACTATGTATCCCGCTTCGTCTTGTTTGTATGTAGGCTAAAGAACAAATACTGTATGTATGCAGCAGGCTAAGAACAAGGACGAACATGCTCGCGATGTCCCCTTCCAAGTTTGTATTCAAGTATGTACTACTTAGTCATTCGCGTTACACTTAAAACCTATACCTTGAGGAACCTCGGTTATTGCTGGACCAACTGCGGCAAGTATTTGAACCCCGTTGCCCCTCAAATTATAGAACTAGTCCACTCACTAGTAATTTCCTACACATACTTAGAAAGGATCTCTACGCTATGGTGCATAACGATAGACAAATCTGTATAAGTTCGTGTTTACTTGGATAAGTTACAATTTATAAGATTATATTTGTAGAAACACATACTCTTCAGTACTTCTCAAATGAATACTTGTGTAAATGCTCACAATTGCATAGGTCAGTTGACATTAAACCACCTGATATTCTTTCAGGAGGCTATGAAGTATGTTAAACCCAAGAGACCTAGAAACAGTTAAACCATAAACGCTAAAACCCAACACCTAACCCTATAGTGATTGTCGATATTATCTTCTATCTTATGTACCATGTGGCAGACATTTGCACGCACGAAGCTAAAAAAATAATACCTTCGAACAAATACATACAAATTCCCGCGTGCATCGCGTGTGCTATCGAAGTTTAGTGCGTATACAATCTACATAGGCTTGTATTTAGTTTATTCACAGTATAAGAGCTGTATTCGGACTACACACAAAGCCAAAGCCTTCGCAGAGATGCCCACTCCCGCATTGCGCCCCGGATTCAAATCCGCAGCTACGGAAGGAAATGAAAATTTCACTTGTTCTGTTTGCAAGTTAGAGGCTGACTTGATGTGCCCTTGCAATATACGACTATATTACTGTTCTGAAGTTTGCCAGGTATGTATGCTTAAGTTTTTACTTATTGATTCTTTATCACTTTGGTGCGCTGTGCGTATTGTTGTCACGAATTTTGCATGGTTGTCCTCGTGCGTTCAAAGATACATTCCCGAGTTTAGCCAAGTTCTATATCTCATGCTATCGCTGATGATAGTAATATATTATCTGCTCGTATTTCGTGCTTTACCTATGCTCCGTACCCAACTTGTATCTATAAGTTTCTCAATTTGGCTATGCCGCTCTAATTGTGAATGCTTTTTTCTGTTCGTAAGTCTACATATACAGTGTAGTCTCAAGTGTACTAAGGTTAGTACAGCCGCTTCCCCTGGGAAATTAATAGCTCAGATGTAGAGGGTTAGAAGAATACAAACGTAAGCAGGTATTCGCGAAGCACAGACTTGATGAGCTAATGCAATACTCTCCGTAGTTTCTCTTCGAGTCCAGTGTTGTTGCGTACCGGGGAGGATTGTTGTGTTTCTAGCAACTTTAGCTGTATCTGCCCAATTCTTTAGCGATGGAATCAAGCTAAATACACAGTGCTTTTGTTCACAAAGATTCCGAGTGCATGAATTTTCGTCCACTTTACCACAAAGACGGTGTACTCTCCGTAGCTTCTCTTCGAGTCCAGTGTTGTTGCGTACCGGGGAGGATTGTTGTGTTTCTAGCAACTTTAGCTGTATCTGCCCAATTCATTAGCGATGGAATCAAGCTAAATACACAGTGCTTTTGTTCACAAAGATTCCGAGTGCATGAATTTTCGGCCACTTTACCACAAAGACGGTGTGCGCGAACCTATCTGAATACGAGTCTAGTCACGTCATGCCAGGCCCATCATGCACCTTTGTAAATGGTTGTACAAAAGATGATTACACTGAAATATATACATCAGCAGTCATTACCATCCCTGATTTCAATTATATCGTGCGTTGTGGAATGACGGTGCGTATAGATCACGCTCGTGTTCAATTTGAAGGAACTGAACTTTGTTGCTGATAATTCGAAGTCGTGCTACGTATTTGTTGGCAAGTGATCTGTTTTAACGTACTGTGATATGCGGATATCGAGTTTCACGTGTCGTTTAGTCAGGAAAAGTTTAATGGAATATCTGTATAAGTGTGTCTTTTTAACATTTCATTTCACAACCTAACTGTGCACTACGTGCGACTGGTGGATATATATATTTTAAACTGAGCTGAAGAAAAGGGATTTTCATTGAATAATTTCGTTTACATGTTCAATAGGGTAAAGGGTGGTATGATTTTGGACATGCGCACGAATGCTCGGCGAATCCTGATCGCAAGCGTCCGCATCCCAACACCTCCGTTGTGAGTTCGGCCACTGAAGACGTACTCAGACAGAAGAGTGCTCGGATATGTAAAGAAAAATGTATAAGTGAACCCCTCGCGCCTAAGAATGCGCTTAGAGTCCTGGATAATGTTGAACATGCAGATACGAGATATGATATATCTGTAGCGACAGTACCTGAAGCGAGAGAGAGATGAGATGCTAATTTGTGTGTGAAAGCGGACACTGAGTGCGTTGCTGAGGGGTCCAAAATTGGGAAAGCGTGTACACCTTCAAACGCACCAGTCACCGCGGATTCGAAAGTTGGAGCTGGCAGTCGTTCAAATTGTACGCAAACGGTGGAACCGCAGCCACCTGTACACT